CTCTCTCTCTCTCTCTCTCTCTCTCTCTCTCTCTCTCTCTCTCTCTCAGTCTGCTGATGCAGTGAAGTCAGGTAGCGAGAGGGTGAGAGGGAGATGGTGGACTGAGAAAAGGAAGAAGAAGAACTCTCTCTCTCTCTCATTCACGTGCCAGGTACTAACTTGTGAAGATGGCGTTGTGCTGCAGGTACCTCGAAGACGAAGCTGGAGCAACGGCGCTGCAGGTAAGTCTCCCTGGCCTCCGCCCAATCTCTCTCTCTCTCTCTCTAGTACTGCTCTAGCTCCTATGGCGCCCAGCGCTGAAGACTACTGCTAACGCTACTAGCGCCCAGCGCTGAAGACTACTGCTAGCGCTACAACTACTACTGTAGAGCTCCTCCAGAGTGCTGCTGCCGAATCTTGAAGACTACCTCCTGCCTCCTGAACTGCACGTGAAGTGCCTGCGAAGTACCTCGGAACTGCCTGCAGCCTGCAGGGCGGGCTAGTCTTATATAGTGCTGGCCCGTCCAGGAGGCTGCTCTTGCCAATGCCAAAATGTGCCAGACCCTGGGGTTGAAGCTTAAACAAAGGTTGTCTTGAAAATAGGCCAAAAATGGCCTGAGCTAAAACCCTGGTCGGGTGCCTGAGTTTCAGGGCAGGCCGATCTTATGAGGGCCTGAAAATGGCCCTCAGTTTCAGGCTGAAAAGATTCAGGGCCGGAAAGGCCCTGATTTAGGCTGAAACGGCACAGGGCCTGTAGGCCCTTGTTTTCAGGCTTTCAGGCTGAAACGACACAGGGCCTGTAGGCTCTTGTTTTCAGGCTTTCAGGCTGAAAGGACACAGGGCCTGTAGGCCCTTGTTTTCAGGCTTTCGGGCTGAAAACGATACGGGCCTGAAAATGGCCCGTGCAGCCTGTTGCAGGCGCAGCATGTAACACCCCCCCCTCCTTATGAAGTCAAGCCGGGTCGAGGGCGAAGCTGACGATCTGAAGGTGGAACCTGGACGCAGGTGCGACGTGGAGCCCAAGGTACCGGCTTCTTGCGTTTGTAGCGTGCGAGAACATCTGGAGCTGTTGCTTGGAGTCCCGCACGGGTCAACCAACGGTCAGCTTTGTGGGTGCAGTACGCAAAGTGTACCAAGTACTCGGTTGGCCTGTTGTCGTAGCGTCGCTGGGAGATGATGTCGCCAACCTCTTGAAAACTGTCCATCGAGGGTGGGTCTTGGGATCGTCGTCCGGGGAAGTCGTCATCTTCCGCTGGCGTGTAAAGAGCCAACTTGGAGCAATGAAAGACCGGGTAGACGGGCAAGAGGGCGGGCACCTGAATGGTGAAAGAAGGTCCTTCGGGTGCATCCCCAGCTGGTGCCACGATCGGCCAAGGCCCCATCCATTTCGGGAGGAGTTTGCGGGAGATATCTTGTTCAAGGCTGAATTCCGCGGCGGAAACCCAGACAAGGTCGCCGATGCGGAATGGACAGGGAAGACGCTGACGATTGGCTTGTTGGCTCATGCGTTGCTGCGTCTTTGTCATTTGGTCCCGTGCCTTGACAAGGAGCTCTTGCATCCGACGAATGAAGAGAAGATGGTCGTCGCTCTCGGCCGCCTGTGGAATGATTGTGTCCAACGGAGAAGTGACCGGCGAGCCGTGCCCGAACTCGAAGGGCGACATCCCGATAGCCGGGTGGATGGACGAGTTGTATGCCAACTCGACATCTGGCAGCCGCTCAACCCAATCCTTTTGGCCGGGACGGATGAGAGTGCGAAGGAGAACCTGTGCGGTTTGATGCGCCCTCTCCGTTTGGCCGTCGGTCTGGGGGTAGCGAGTCAAACTTGGCTTGAGAGATGAGCCCCATCGTTTGATGAGTGCCAACCAAAAATCGGACATGAACCGAGTGTCGCGGTCGCAGACGATTTCCTTGGGGTAACCCTTGGTTCGAATCCAACCGGCGTAAAGAACCTCGGCCAACTCCGGTGCCTTGGCATGATAGCGGCAAGGCAAAAACATGGCGAACTGGGTGAGTCGGTTGACCACCGTGAGAATCCCATCCACACCAGTCTTGTGCTTGGGGAACGGCCCGGTAATGTCCATGGCAATCGCTTCCCTTCAGCGCAAGGGGACTGGTAATGGTCACAACTGCCGTACGGATGATGATTGCGGGATTTGCAACGTCGGCAAACCTCGCATGACTCGCAATAGCGTGTGACGTCGTCGAAAAGACCGGGCCACCAAAAGCGCTCGCGGAGTCGGCCAATCGTACGATTGACTCCAAAGTGTCCGGTGGCGGGAGCGTCATGGAACTCGCCAAGAAGCCGTGTGCGCAAGTGTAAATCTCGTGGCTCACAAAGAAGATCCTTCCCTCGCGAGTGGACGAGCAAGTACCCCTCTTGGATCCGATAGTGCGATGGCGCCGGACTGGGAGAGGAGCAATTTGCGTACTTGTCGCAAAACTCGGGGTCGACTTGATAACTGCGGATGAAGCTGTCCCGCAAGTCGTTGTGAACCTCAAAAGTTGAGTAGACTACGGTACAATGGTCCGGACGCCGTGAAAGAGCATCCGCAAAACGGTTTGACTTGCCCGGAATGTGGTCGGGGAAAAAGTCAAATTGGTCGATGAAGGTCATCCAACGGGCAATGGTGCTATTGACCGTGTCTTGGGTCTTGTAGAAGACCAATGGATTGTTATCTGTTACCCATCGGAACTGTCGTCGACCGAGAAAAAAATGCCGCCAGCGCTTGCGTGTACGAAGGCCAATAATTCCTTCTTCCATGCGTCGTCGATCGAGTGCACGACGGGCACTTTCTTGCTAAAGTACTCGATCGGGTGCCAATCCACGCCATCATGTTGCTTGAGGACGGCACCAATGTCATAACCGGACGCATCGGTAGTGACACGTGTTGGTAGAAGCGGGTCGTCGATGCGCAACACCTCTGCGGATAGCAATGCGGCTTTGAGAGCCAAAAAGGAAGTCGGCGCATTATCGTCGAAGTCGAATGGTCGGTCCTCGCATTGAAGCTTGGATAAAGGAGCCGCGATCTTCGAGTATCGTTTGATGAAGCATTGATAGTAGCCGTCTAAGCCAAGGAAGGAACGAACATTTGTGATGTTCATCGGCCCCGGCCACTCTTGGATGGCTTGAATCTTGTCCAACAACGGACTGATGCCCTCCGGTGTGACAAAATGGCCCAAGTATTCCAGCTCTTGCCTGACAAATTCGCACTTGTCGCGGTTGACTTTGTACTTAGCGCGGCGGAGCGTCTCGGACACTTGTTGCAGGTGCTCAAGATGATCCTCCAATGTCCGACTATAGACGAGAATGTCGTCTAAGTAGACTAGTACGAACTGGTCCAACATCGCACGGAGCCCGTTGGTCATTGCCGTTTGAAAAGTCGTCGGGGCATTGGTGAGGCCAAAAGGCATAACGATCCACTCAAAATGCCCATACCGTGTCTTGAACGTGGATTTGTAGCAATCTTGCGGGGGTATTGAGATTTGGTGATAGCCCAACTTCAAGTCCAACTTTGAGAAGAATTTTGTGCCGCCCAAACTCTCGAGAAGGTCGTCAATCCGCGGAAGAGGTCCCACATTCTTGATGGTTTGTGCGTTGAGCTTGTGGTAGTCAATGAACAAGTGAAGATCCTTGTTCTTCTTCCGTACGAAGAGAACTGGCGCACCGTATGGTGAGCTACTAGGGCGGATCCAGCCCTTGTGCAACAAATCATCGAGTTGTGCGCGGAGAACCGCGAGCTCTTTCTCGCTTATGCGATAGATGCATCCTTTTGGCGGCACGGCACCGGCCTCAAGAATGATCTCGTGGGAGATCGGTCGATCCGGCACCACACCAGTAGGAGACTCGAAAATGTCGGTAAACTCGTCGAGCAGCCGCACCACTCGGGGGTCCGAAGACAAGTCCGTCGGTGAAGATTCGATCGTCGCGGCGGCTCGTAGAAAACATAGGCCTATCTCGTCGGTCCGCTCGTAAGCGCAAGTGGCCCGAAAAGACTTGGTTGTTACAACTTGGCATCGGATCGAGGGGTGCGGAAGAGGAATGGTACACGGCACCCCGGCGCCGAAGGCGTCACGAACAGTAAGTGTCCGCCGATGGAAGTTAACCGTGTGATACGCACTTGCAAGCCAAGGCATTCCCAAAATGATGCCGAAGTCCGTGTCCAAGACGTCAAACGTCACCGGTTTGCGTGCATGAGGTGCGAAATAAACCGACATAGCTTCAATGTAGCGATCGAAGAGTTGTTGCGTCCAACCATCTGCCAACTTGATCGCCGTCGGGTTTGGCTTCCTTCGAACTTGTGCGCCAAGGCGAGCCCTTTGGATGAAGGACTGGCTGATGAAATTGCGAGTCGCGCCGTGATCCAGCAAAGCGGTGCAGGACGCTTGCCCAACTTGGATGCGGACATAAAGGAGCGGTGCGTTGGTATCATCGTACCGCTGCGTGCGAAACTCGCGGGCCACCTTACTAACATACGCAAGGATGTCCCCCACCGCAGCTTCGTCATCCGTCGGCGAAGGTGGGGGTGCATAGAAGGCTAAGTATGTATGGAGATGGGCTCATAGTGCTGCGCATTGCAGTCTCGGCAAGCAGCCTCTAGAAGGGAGAGGAAGCCATGCAAATCCTCGAACGTCAACGGGTCCAAGACCTCTATGTTGAACTCGTGCGTTGAATCCCTTGAAGAACCACTTGAAGACGATTCATTGTTGCTGTTGTCGGGCGGAGAAGAAGCCGCACACACATCTTGTCCGTGAGCTTGAGAACCCAGCGAAGGAACGAGCCGGGCAGCATAGTCCTCATAAGAATATAAGAGAGGACTGTCGACTTCCGCATGTGCCTCGGAATGAAGAGAGGTCTCTTGTGAAGCAACCGATTCCGAAGGCGTCGAGAGTGCAGCCGCATCACTCTCGGCGGTGCTCACTTTCCTGAAGGGAATTTGCCTTTGACTTGCATGGGGCACGTTGCAGTGTCATGTACCACGTCGTTGCACCACAAGCAGTATCGGTACTTAGTACGGATGCGGTACACGCCTTCCGAGATACCGTAATGTGTCCAAGGCTCTTGAGCTGCTGGTCCGGCCCCGGGGGATGAGTTGGTGTTTGTCTTCGAGTTGCCGCGTCCTCGCCCTCTGGCGGGGCGGCCACCATCCCGGGTGGCTGCCAATCTGTCTCCTTCATCAGAGGAGGCAGCCTCGTTTGAAGGATCGGTCGCTGTAGTTGCTGCGACCACGACCACTTTCGGCCGATGCTGATCTTTGCCTTGGCTCGCAGCGGACGAAGGGCCCAAATTCTTGGCTTCGGTGTTCGTCACGATGATCTGCGAGGCTTTATCGAAAAGCTGCTCACTTGTGGTGAGCGTCTCCGCAACTTGCGTCAAGGCGTTCTGCAACGCCGGACAACTCCTTCTGATGAAGAAGTGTTTGATGGCGACGAAGGTCGACGGCAAGTTGGGCGTGGATGCCAAGCGTTGGTACTCGGTTATACAGTCCGTGCTTGGAAGGTCGTTCTGATAGAACCGTTGAAGTTTCTCGGCTGCCTGAAGCTCGGGCGGCTCCACTTGGAACCGCTTATGCCATGCTGCCTTGAGATCAGCCCAGCTGATCTTCGTATGCAGCTCGGAGACTGCGACGTTGTGCATGGACAACATGTTGTCCAGCCATGCCATGCACACGGCCCCTGAGCGGGAGTATAAGTATGCGTGCCGGTTCGGGTTGATGACGTGGTGAATGTCCAACTTCAACTCGAACTGGCGCCACCATGGGATCGGGTCTGTCTTCGTTGCATCGCAGAAGATCGGCAGACCGTCAAACTTTGGGATGCTCTCACGAGTAGTCGCGGTCGGACTGGCTGCGGTGGCACAAATCTGCTGGTCAATCCGCTGATTTGTCGCTAGAGCGCCGTCCTTGAGAGTCTCGGCGTCGATTTCCAAGACGTTGATGTGGTCCGTCAAGTTGGAGGGTCCGGCGGGGGTGGCTGTTGTTGGCTGCTGTTCCAGCCAGCGTACCCAAGCAGGCAGTTCGTCGATAAGTCGAACGTGCTTCAGGGTGTCCACCATAGAGGATGTCCTCTTGTTGTGCTGCACAGGTGGCAACCAAGTCGCTCACATGTTCGATTGTGGTTGCAAGGCCACACACAGCAGGGGGGGCACCCTCCTCTTCAACATCCACTGCCCATTCGCCGGCGATCACCTCGATGTTCCCCTCACGTTCGAGGATTTTGTCTCGGCGTAGTCGACGACGTTCGTCTGCGGCCTTCCTTGCTGCCTCAGCGTCCTCCTGTCGCTGCTGTTCAGCGAGGCGACGCTGTTCCTCTGCTTCCTGATCTTCCTTCTTACGTGCGGATGTTGCCGCAGCTGCCCGTTGCTTGAACTCTGCTACCATGTCCAGCATGCGGGTCTCATAGGCCTCGGTAGTCTCGCCTGGCCGCTGATCCATGCCACTTGTCTTTGAGCAGGTGAGCACCATGCACTGACGTGACCTGCTGCTGCGGTGACTGGTTGCTGACGCGGCACTGCTGCCGTGTCCTGCTGGCGTGGCCTGCTGACGTGGCAACTCACCAATGCCTCCGCAGGGGATACCCGGAGGCAGATAGAGAAAACCAGAGGGGGCAACAACATAGGTGGGGAGGGGTGGGATAAATCGCCCAGATAAGGAGCCACTAATCAAAAAAAAAAAAGTTCGAACTTTGCAAAAAAATTCGAGAAAAAGAAAAAAATACTCATTTGCAAGTTCAGTAGGCCTCCCAATTGCCCTGAAGTGCGAAATTACCAATGAGAAAAAATTTCGAACTTTCAGACCGCAAAACATTTTCCGATAAAAGAACTCTGAAAATAAAGTACAAAAAAAAAATTTGGAATTACTCGGATGAGGGTACGCGCAGTTTGGAGAATGATAACTGCAAGAGGCATTCCCGTACCGTTTTCAAAAAAACGGATTTCAGAAAAAAAATATTCCGGATTTCCAAATAACGGGAATTGCAAAAGGAAATCGAAATTTTCGAAAAAAGATATTCCGGATTTTCAACAACGAAATTTCGAATTTTCAGAAGAAAAACGAAATCGGAAATTTCGGATGTTGCGCTATTGCGATTTTCCACAACAGAAATAGCGAGAAAACAAAATCCAAGAAAAGAAAAGAAAAATCGATTTTCGGCAGTGAGGTCAAAATCGTGAGCTAACTAGTGTGCTCAAATCAATCAATCAAGACTAATCAGCTACTCAGTCCCCGCACACGTGTCAGATCAGGTTGTCCTGATTCACGTGTGGTGTTCCGATACCAACTGTTACATGCCCAGTTGGGCGATGTACATATATAACCAAGGATCTGCAATGTGACAAAAAGGACTGAATGGACAATGCAGTGCAAGTAGAATCTCAACAAGCAGTGTGCATTCCGATACATACAAGAATGGTGCTTTATAGCGCAGTGGAAGACTTAGATACAAGTCCTGACCTGACCGGGACTGACCTCTTTCACGTAGTACAAGATAGCGAAGCAGAATGCTAGAATACTAATGACAAGCCCAATCAATGTCGCAATGCGGACTAAACATACATCATTCTCACCACAAGGTGTGAAGGGGCCTGGCACTATACACAGGAAGAAGGCGCCAGGTCCAGACATGCACAGACGGAGAGGAGGGGATCAGACGAAGAGGAGGGGGGAGATGGGAAAGTCGTCAACACCAAGTCTCGTTACAATTCCCAAATAATCCCTCGTCAAAATGTCTGAAGCCCATGTTGACTCTGGGTCCAAATGTCACC